GTGATCTGATGTGATTGTCGTATGTGTTGTAAATCCTAACTTCTATGATACTAATGAGGCAGGATTAGAGACAGTTCCATGAATGAGACAGGACTTCATCTACAGGATTAGGTTGTGTCTTATGTCAATCTCTTTTGAGATATAAAAGAGAAGTGAGCAGAGAGACATGGAGATCTCGTACCACCAAGAAAGCAGCGCCAGGAGCAGAGCGCATCCTTTGGACCCGGGGTCCCTGTGCTGAGAAGCTGCTCAACCAGGGGAAGACTGATGACAAGGACCTTCCACCAGAGCTCACAGAAAGAGAAAGCCTTCCCCTGGAGCTGGCACCTTGAATCTGAACTTCTAGCCTACTAGAGTGTGAGCGAATAGATTTCTCTTTGTTGAAGCTATCCACCTGTGGTATTTATGGTGCAGCAGCACTAGATAACTAAGACAGACCCCAAGACAATATACATTTTAGATCCCGCAAAACCTGACTCTGCCCCTCTAGGTTAACAGAAATCCCAATGTCGAGACCTTGAGTTACATTTGAAGGGCAAAACGTTAATTTGTAAACCCAAATAATTTACTTCAATTGTAAATGATGTTTAGCGCATCCCAGCCTTGATGCTCTAGGATGCGTACTTGTCTGTCCACTAAGTCCCTTGTCTCTCACCTAAGAGCAGACACCTTTCCAAATGGCACGCTAGGGGAGGCGCCCTTAATGAGGGGTGGCGTCGAGAACAAAAGACTCCAGCTATAACAAGAAAAATATGTTTTTCACTAAACACAAAACTAAGCCAGAAAAAGCCAGCCAAGAGGCAGGTGTATAAGTTGAGGAATTCCCTTGAGGTGTCTAACCTCCTTATCAAACTGCACTGAATTTTTCTACACTAATTATCCATTACTGAAGACGACAAAGAGTTACAACAAATAATTCACCATGCCAGTAGAAAGAGTATAGATGTTATAAGGGAAAGAACGAGGAATTTATAAAGTATAAATACAGGCAAAAGAGATTCACAAATTCTCAATTTTTAAAAACAACGCAGAACATTATTCTACTAGATGGATACTGAAAGTGAGGGAGGTTTCCTTGGACTAGAAAGCTAATCTTTTAATTTAGTTTCCACCGTGAGTGAGAGAAAATGCAAGCTGAAAGCTAAGTGTTGGAGTCTAATTTATTCAATTCATGTAAATTTTCTTGGAGGCAGAGATCTCATCTTTGAATTTTTTAAACTCTCTCACTGCACACTGCACGTAGTAACTGATTTGATTTTTTTATGAGGAATGGACTTATGCAATACCAAACAACTCTCCCCCCTTGTCTTTGTATCATTTTTACCTAGCACTTCTCCTTGGCCCTCCAAACTTGGCCGACTGTCAGAATTCCTGCTCTACAGCTAATGTTATGAAAATCTGTTCCTGTCAGGCCATTTCCTCTGTAAAATTCCCTAAAGAACACACTCCCTGCTTCACTGAGAGTTAACCTCAGCACTATTAAGAGGACATTTTCATGCAGGTGATGTATGTCTACAAAAGAAGCAGATGAATTAGTATTTTTGAAATCGTGTGCCACATTAAATTGTTCTACCCCACTAAAAAAATAAACACACAAATAAAAGCAAGTATTCCCTCAGAAGTAAAATCTGATAGGTTGATAAAATTCCTGTTTCTATGCTATAACTGTGGATTTTACGGGAATAGCCCATCGATATTGAACGATGTGCTTTCAAAAAGTGTTCATAATTTTCTCTTGAAGTACTGTAAAAGAAAAAATTCTCATTGAGTTTGAAGGACAGGAACACTAATTTACAGATACCATTCTGCTGCTGTCCGGGAAAGAACCATTTTCTTATTGTGATAGTGCACTGATTGAACAGACTAGTGTGACACGTGTTATTGATTATAACTTTTATAATACTTTCTGCTAAAATAAGCACTGCATAGTTCTCCCCCTCCCAAAAAAATCCACCGACTAGAACTTTGTTCTATGAATAACACCATTTGCTACCTCTTTTCTATCAATGCACGCTTCCCCTCTTTAAGTATTCAGTATACCAGCACTAGGAAGACAGCAGGCTGGCTGTTCAATATCATTATATTGCAAGGGAAATGAAACATTTCCTGTAAAAAGGTTCTGGTTTCTCTGAATATGACTTTCTCTGTTTCAGGCATCCCTCTCTTTGTTGTGTGATTACCGGACCCCAGTACAGTGCGTCACTCCCAATCTGGTATCCCTAAAGGGCATCATGAAAAAGTCCAAGTTACTAATGACAGTCTCCAAAGGCTAATGAACACTGCATAGTTAATCTGCACAAGGCTGTAGTGGCTTTTGAAAATATTAATCCTTTCCTTTTAAGGAGAGTTTTATCAACTCACTGGTTTCTAAAATAAACAAATATATTATTACCTAATAAATCTGAAGTGTCTTTGGCTAATTAAAGTCATTTTAACAAGGAATCAATTGGGATTAAACTGATAGAGGGATTTTTGGTGGTTGGAAGAGTTAGTCACACTGGTCCCGGATAAACGATGCTTTTTTGCCAGTGTAAACTGGCATTTGATGATGATGACAAAAATCAAAGAGTTTAAAGAAATTCAGTTTTGTAAAGTAGTATTTATGTGTGTTTCCTACAACGTTTAAAAACATAAATGCTTGTAGAAATTTAAAGTTACATTTTGCCTGTATTCATTCTAATGAATACTTCCTGCAATCCATCATAAATTAATAAACAAAAGAAGTAACTGGTATACATGTCACTCAATTTCCTCATTAGAAACTGTGCGTGGTGAAATGAGTTCCTTTATACGGCCATTAGCCTTGGTTCTTAGTAAAAACAGCTTGAGAGATCTTTCCCCTAAGCCTTGAGGAGTTACCTTTGCCCTAGTTTTTACCGCAGAGGTTTTGTTACTTTTGTCCAGGTTGATTGACATTCCCTGGGTAAGCTGTAGACAAGGATGGTTTGATACTTTCTGCCTGGCTCTGGGCTGCAGTTTGCCCCGTGATTTACTATGTACCTTGCAAGGATTAGTCAACAGACTATGTAAATGAGGTGAGCTGTAGCCTACTATGCAAATGAAGTGGCCTATCCAGAAAGGATTGGTCAGTTCGTGGCCCTGGTGGGAGTGCCATGCCTTGAAATTGTCAAGGAGTTTGTGTATTTAAGCAGCCAATCCCACAGTGGTTTTTTAGAAGGAAGCAGGAGGATAAGCACAGGAAGAAGCAGAAAGCAGAGAGAAGAGAGAAGAAACAAAGAGAGGAGACAAGGAACCTCATAAAGGAGCTGTAACACAGGTCAAGGGCTGTAACTCTGCAGACAGCGACAGGCTCAGAAGGTGCCCAGTGGCGGTGCCAGCAGCAGCAGACAACAGGGGCAAGAGGAGCCTGTCTTCAGGGGCCTAGAGGAGGCCTGCAGGGCCCAGAGGAGCTAAGAGAGCTGTCCAGCACATGCTTCCTGATCTTGATCCTGAGTTGTAGCTTGTTAATCTGCTCCCGAGTTGTGCCCTGTTTCTTAATAAACCACTTAACTGTAAGTATGTTCTGTGAGTTCAATGTGGCCACTGCAATGGATTATTAAACCCAGAAGAGAAGTAGAGAGTACTGCAGGAAGGATGACTGGTGTCAGAATTGGTAAAAAGGTTGGAGGATGGAGTTATGCCTGACCTCCACTTCATGGGAAACAGCCTTGGGCTTATCTTGATTCGCCTTATACTCCTTGAAGTTAGATAGGTTCTGACGTACTACTATTTCTACTCCCGCCATTTTACACTATGTAAACATCTCACAGAGTAAAAAAGATGTCTTCTCTAAGGGTATTAATATGTTGATTTCCCAGTTGGTCCAAGGTGATTGGTCTGAGGTGATTTCTAAAGATGATAGCTCAGAAACATTTACGCTCAGCCTTGTTAGAAACACAACAAGAAATGTCAAATCATTTGTTTCATTTGCTGATTAAATCAGATTAAGATACAAAGAACATTCTATTCAAATTGTCACCCAGTCTTTAAAGAAGAATATGTCAAAAAAAAAAAAGCCAACTGAACAATTTCTAAGTACAATGTTCTAGAACTCATACTTTGTTTTAGTTAGTATACTGTATCTCAGCAAAACGAAAAATGTCCACAGTCATCTTTCTTCTTCATGTGCTCTTGGCGACTGTTGCCAATTATTAGATGTGCTTCTCTGAAACAACTTTATTCTCTACCCAGATTCACTGTTAAGTGACTAGTCACTGCCTCTTTGCCACCTCCATGATCATGCGACTTGCTTCTTTAGAATTCTAACATTCGATAAATCCACTCCATACATTTTGTAATACCATGAACCAAGACTTTAGAATAAAATTGAAATGCAAATCTGAAGAATGTGAACTAAACGATTTCACTCTCTTCATACAACTGAAGACCATCTTCACGGGACTCGAAAGGTTCAAGTAAGAATTCTGATTAACAGCAATGAACCTGGACCTTAAATATCATAACATAGACAGAACAGCTGAAACACCTGAAGAGTCACCAAATTCAACACTGACATATTTAAACAATTAGTTTAAAAATTACTGTAAACCTTACTTTGTGAAGTCTCTGCTGAAACATTCCTAAACTGACAGAAATGTTAAAACACCTTTGAACTCTTTCACACAAAAATTAACCTCTTTACATATTAAAAATGATAGTCTTTCAAGTACTTGTCTTTCTAGTATCTACTATCTCAGATAACACGGGCTTGTTCATCAAAAAACCTTTGGAATATACTGAAGCAGAATTTCCCCAACTTAACGCATACACACAGACACAACTGCATTTGTAGGTACTTAAAACGATTCTGATCGTAATAAATTAAAGATTTTATAAAATCATTATTTGTGTCTGCCTCCCCCTTCAATTATTATTACAAATCTTACCACATGAAACCAGTCACATCATTGCAAAAAAGAAACACAGAAATTGAATTTATACCTGTCAAGTCGTCACTCATAACGACTAAGTTGCATGTGAGTGGCATGGAGAAGACTCACCTCTCCTTGTTTGGGGATGCTGAACTTGGAAAGCTTGGCCTTGGTTCTGGCTGACTCTGGCTTGGTGGCTGGGACGCCCCTGTACGATGTGCAGTGCACACTGGTTTCTGTAGATGACTTAAGCTTAGGAGACTCATCAGGAGCCTGATCTTGGCCATCCATTGGCCGCACATATGCAGTTGGCTTCTGCTGGACCAGGCTGGGTTTGGAAGCCAGCGATGGAGGAAAGTTTTGAACACAGTGTCCGCCACTGCTGTGCTTGGCTGCCATAGCAGGTGGCCTGTCCTGGATCTGAAGACCCACCTCCACATTGCACACTTGTTTGGTCCGTGGCTGCTGTCTGCCAACACCATCTCCAAGCAAGGTCCTGAGAGAGCCCTGTTGTGCTGAGTTGGAAGAAGAAGAAGAAGAGGAAGATGAGGGTTAGGGGCTCAACACACAATGATTAGGTCTTTTATTACTGTTCTTAGAGTCAGCAGATTTGTGCAAATCAAGCAATCTGCATCCATGCTTACTTGCTCTCTGTGGGCCATCAGATGGTGGGTGCCCAGCCTTCTGCCAGCCCATGGTGCCCCGCTTACTCTGCTGCACTGGGACAGCTGCTGGTGTGGAAGATGCAGAGCTACAGACAGACGAAGACTGGGTCTGGGCTCTCGAATCTGCAACAAAATGTTCATCGATCTTGTTCACGGGAGTCTGAGGAACCCCAGTTTTGGGAACGCCAACAAGATGACTCTGATTGGATCTATCCGTTAAGAAGTCTTTCATTTCATCATAATTGCCTAAAGTATTCTGGAGCCGGTTGGAGAGCTCATCCCCCTTGTTAGTCTGGAGAAAGGGAAACAAAAGATGCACGCTATTACCATAGACAAGTGCCTGCACTCTCTGACCACAGAGCCACTTCCCCACATTCAGAATGAGAGCTGGGAGATGGAAGCAAAGCCCTCGCAGTCTCTGAAGATGCCTGTCAGTGCTCTACGTTCAAAACGGGGAAGCTGAAACCACCTTAGAGTACATAAAAAAGGATCTATCCTTGGTGTCACGCTGCAGTTAAAACATATTTCCTGGAAATCAGAAAATTTGCTGTTGCAACTTCGCAAAACGGCCTGGATGAAACCTTTCCAGGATTTGGATTTTCTTTTCTGTGTGATACTACTGGAAGCTTTTGTGGAAAACCCAGATTTGGCTCACAATTCTTCTGCTTCCGATTTCTAAATATATAATTATTCTTGTCAGACATCCAGAGTTGACAGGCACGAGAAGCCAGAGTGAAGCTTACAAAGGACACATGCAGGAACCTACCAGCTTGAGGTTCCCACAGCTCCATGAGCCTAAGCTGGCAGTGAAATCTAGGAAGATTATTTAGTTTTGGAAGAGAGATTCTTTCATGGCATTTGATACAAATGAGAAATAATACAGCAGTTTCTTTCTCATTAGCCCTAACACTTACAAATATGTAACTCAACCTCTTCTTAACAGTGTTTGTTTTCTGAAAGCTTAGAAAGCAAAACAAACGGAATTCTCTTTTAAAATTAATGCAAAAATTAAGTCTATGTTACTGATACAAATCACAGCAAACCAATCTCAATATTCACCAAAATTTACATTTTATGGAGGGAGTAGCAGCTAAAGACATGTGGAACAGATGCCAAGATGTGGGAGGGAAGGCCCCATACCTAGTGGCTGAGCTGTCCTCCTTGGGCTGAACCAGCAGCAACTTAACTGATGTTCTGTTGGTCAACAGTTCTAGCCCCCTGCCATCACACGGGGCTCAGGGGCACGGAGGGAGGGTGGTGACGAACACACGAAAACCATCTACCTTGTAAGGCTCACGGAAGAGGGAGTAACTAGAATTAAACGTGCCGTCATCCTGTTGAGTTTCCTGATTTCGTCGCTCTCGTTCTTTCCTCCGTAATACATTTCTGTCTGGCTCATAGGCACTGCATCAGGAGAAAGAAAAGAGAACAGACCACACACCAAAAAATTAAAGGGGAAGCCCAACGTAACATGCATCTAAGTGCAGAAGCCTGGCTCATGGACAAATGGCGATGATAACAAGAACATGAAATAGATTAAAGCCCGTCTAATCAGGCAACGCCAGCTCGGGGGCCGGACAATTACGTTCTTCCAGGGGGGGAAGTCCTTAGGACAAGCTCCAACCTGTACTAGACACCTCTGCCTGATATGTGAAAGAGGAAATATCTAAGCAGCTTTGACGGGAGAAGACTGACAATAATCTTAGAGCTGACGGTAATTACAGCAATGTGTAAACAGAAATTATGAGCATATTTCCTCTGATGACATAGTCTCTGGGTGTTATATGGGAATGTTTTTTTCTTTTTTCTGCATAGCCATGTTTCTGTAGTGATTCCCTCATTAACTTGCTCCCTGAAGAGCTGTTAAAGCTCCATGCCCCAGTGGTTTCCACAGTTATGAGCCTTCTTCTGATCTCCGTTCATCAGTCAAGTCGTCAAACTGCTCCTGAATCAATGCCTCCTTCTGATAGATTTGACACGACCACTCCTCCTAACTATGAAAAACGCGCCAGGAGGAAAGGGTGCAGGGACAAAGGGAGAGAAGGGAAATTGAATTATGTCGCGCCATCCAGGAACTGGGCCTTTTTGTTGGAGAAAATTAATATCTATGCTCCCAAAATACAATTATAAAGTGCCCAGACATCAGCTAGCTGGAAGAACGAAGGAAGAAATAATGTGTTCCTTCCTCTAATAAGGAGAAAATAAAGGGGCTAATTCAACTAAGGGTAAGGAATTGAGCTGTTTACTGAAGGAAGGAAATACACTTGCTCGTTCAGCTCCCTGGATCAAGAAATCTGCTCTTCCGACTAGAGGACAGAGCTAACCACTACCAGTCGGAAAGAGCAAACAAACCCCCCAAAGTCAGCACCGTACTCACTCCCCAGCAGAAGGACTTAGCTTAAGGGACCATTTCATCCTTTTGCTTAGAGGTTCCACTGGGGCCAGCGGGCGGATGCCTGAGCTGGGAGTCTGGACGGCCACTACTAACTTGCTCTCCCCGACCCAGCTACGTGCTGACGGAAAAGCCCCACAATCTGCCTGTAGCCCAGCGTCTTCATTATAAACCAGGCATGTTTTATGGTGTTGCTATAAGGTTTCAATGCAAAGGTAATATATAAAAGGGCCATGGAACAGTTTTAGGTGCCATAAAATCCAATGTATGCCTATTAAAACATTGTTAACAGTAGAAAGATCTGTGGGTTCAAAGAAACTTATCAAAGTGGTGATTTTTATTTATTTATTTATTTATTTATTTTAGCTAAGTAGCTCTCTTTAATAAAAGAGAGGATTTATGTCATGTAGCTCTAGGGAACACAAATAAAAGAAACACTGCTTCTCCCCCTAGCTCTGCCCATTTGGCCAGAACGTACTCTGCATTCGCCATCTAAGGGGCGAGCTGAATATGCTTCCGGCAAAGCTGTTACAGCACCTAAGGCATTTCACTTCAATTTCGGATTAGGGAATGTTGAAATACCCAGAACGAGTAGCCTATTAGCATTTTAAGTCATCCTTAGTACATTACCCAAAGTTATTAGATTTGGAAGTCCAACCAATGACCTTCATGTAAAGGGGGGTTGTAGCCTCTGAGAGGCTCACAGCTGCAGCATCCGGATCACCAAGAACTCTCTGGGCGGCTGTGTGACAGTGACCAGCACAAGGGGGCATGGGTGGCAATGGCACTCTGATTCACAGAAGCAGGCTTCAAGCTCAGAGAAAAGGAGTGTGATTGTGCCATCCAGCTTACGGATGTTTGTAATAAGAAAGCTCAACTTTCGTGAACATCACGTGGATTTAAAATGGACACGTGACTCATGCATGAAGCAGGCTTTAACCAAAGGAGAATTCTAGTTTTACTATGAACTTGTGTGTGCTAACTTTTGGACCAATACCAACATTTGTAGTCTTTAAAAGAAAAAAAAAAGCTCGTACTGCATGTATCACAACTCTTCCCTTCTCCAGTAGGGAAGTCACCTGCAAAGAACCCACTGTGCTGAGCTTCATACACAAGACTTCCACACACATGCTCGCTGCCTACAGCCAGCTCACGCCAACCATACAGACAAGACTGGTGGGATGCACGAAGTGGCCTGATGTATGGATGGAGCAGGCAGGTGATCGCTGAGGATGATTTCTGGGCTTCTGAGAACACCCCCTGCCACACACCCACCCACCCACCCATGCCCCAAATAATACCTCCTGCATCTGCTGGCTGACGACTGAAACTCCACAACTACAGAGTCATTCCTCTGGTTTAGGATGTCTTCGCCCCTGTAAGAAACGTAAGCACCACAAGAAGGGAAAACCCTGTAAACCTCTTCAGCTTCTGTGTTTTAGTGTGAATGAGTTTCCAGCATGTTCCCCAAAAGCCAAACGGAAAGGGCATATGGACACTGGGGTACGAAGATGATAGAGACCAATTATACACTCTCCCCATTTTGCAATGTGGCTGAGAAGTTCAAGGCAAAGGCAGCAGGATAAAAGCCAACATCAACAAGGCAGACATCACGCTCATTGCATTCCCAGGGCCAGGAAGTACGAATCACTCCATGATCTGGAGACGCTGGAGGTGAGGGGGAAGCTGTATCTTTTTAACTAAACCTGCCTCACTCCCCACCCCCCTTAAGCTTGAAGATGACCAAAAGCATTCCAAGATGCAGACCACTGAAAGATAAAGTTCTCCAGTGAGCTTCTGGCTACACGATGGGTCTAGGTTTCTAATACTAACAAACCTTAAGGATCACATACACGTAATCTATAAATAGAAATGTCTGGACATCGCTTATGTTCTATCCTAATGCTGTGTCACGCAGTACCCTGCATATCATCGGATGAAACCAGAATACCGAAAATGACAATTATTCCCCTTCTGCAAAGGAAAGCCAAAAGGAGAAGCAATACTTCCTGATGCCTTTCCTTTGGCTTCTCTCCTCCTTCACTGGTTGGCAGTTCTGCAGCCTCCACTGAGCATTCAGCCCCTCCTAAAGGCAACCCACCCACTCCTTCTCCTTAACTCGAACCACAACTCCGTCCGTGTCATTTCAGTCCTCAGGAGCTAAATCATCACCTGCTTAAAGCAAATGCCATTGTAAGAGAAAGTCTGGACTTCCATCCCTACCTTTCTGAACTTTCTCTCCCTACCTTTCTGAACTTTTATGTCTTCTGCCAACACCAGGCGTTTTGACTTATAAAGACGGTACTTTTGCTACAGAGAGTCCACCATTCCACTAACTAGGAGTGAAATCTGGGCAGCCACCCACACGCCCAGAGAGTGCCTTTCACTTGCTCTTTCACCATGAGAACTCAGCCTTGTTCTCTACTCTGCCATTTCTGCAATGCAACAAGGCAAAGGACATGCCATTTGCTTTAGAAGCAAAAGGACCTTTCCCCTGACATCCAGAGAGTCAGGTCGGCTTCCCTGAGGACGACCGACTCAAGTTTTAGAAAATTCCAGTGCCTGGCATACCATTATGTACGTTAAACTCAGTAAGAGTCACATGTTACAAGCTATGTTTCTTTGTTACTAGCAGATGGTAGAATCTCTATCATCTGTAAAGTTGCTCCTTATTTTCAGGAAAATTAAAGAATCACATTCCTTAAATGTATGTCACCAAATGTATTTATTTATTTTGCAAGACAGTGGAGGCTGCCAACTGCTACAATATTATTTACTGCAGATGCATAACATTCCCAGAAAATAAATCTTTTTAATCAACTCCTTTCAAAAGACTTATTTATTTCTAGAATAACAAAACCAGCCAATGAAAAATGTAGTAAGAACATTTCTGATAATTTCCCTTTTATTTGTTTTAGTCTAGACATTCAGGTACCTTGCTGGGCTCAGGACAAAGCAAATTATGGTACTTAGGTAGGAAGAGATGCCCAAACAAGAAATTATCATCATTTCCAAAATTAATTTACTTTTGATCATGTGGTGACAGCAAGGAACGAAATAACAGTATTACCTATGGGTCTGATGGCACCTTCCACTGAGCTCCTCACCCTTCCCATATACGTCCCTTAATTATCCTTGCAACGTCTCTTGGAGAAAGACAGGGTGGAAAACTTTACTAGGTTAGCTTTTTTAAAGATCAAAGAACTCAGAATAAGAGCTTAATCGTCAAAAGACGTCATAAAGCAGACATCATGTTGCAGGCACAGCAATGTTCAAAGTCCTTTACACTCCTCTCTACCCAGCAGTCACCCATGAGCCCAGAGGCAGCCACACTTCCTAAAAGCCTTATGTCTACAAGCCCAGTATTAATAAAGAGCGAACATGAGCCCCACAGAAGTAAAACTGGGCCAACGAAACAAAGAGAAGCTAGTTCCCATTCAGAGAGAACTATAAGGAGAATTCTGGAATAAAGGCTTAGTTGTTGTAATTTGTTTTTTTGTTTTTTTTTTTAAACATACCCAAGAACAACAAAAGACAAAAATCAGTCTCTGCATAGCACACAAGAAAAAAGTATAACCATGTAATAAAGAACTGTGGACTAGAGGGCAGATGAGTGAATAAAGAAATTGTAAGTTATACAGCAAACCAGATAAGGCTTATGGTACCAATACGTTCATCAAATCCCACCCGTCTGCTCAATCCTTCCCCAAGCTGCCCTACTGCAGGAAAAGGCGCTGAAGCTCCTTGAGCCTGCCCCTTCGCTGAACCTGTTTTGACCTAGCCCTTCTAGTCAGAAGGGTCGGCTTTCTTCCTACAACACTCATCCACAGATGGCCCTTTTAAAGCTGAACAATCAGTCCAAAGACACCACACTTCCCATAAAGGAGACTTTCAGCCAAGGGTTGCTGTTGTTGGGTGCCATAGAGTCGATTCTGACTCGTAGTGACCCCATGTGACAGAGCAGAACTACCCTATATGGTTCTCTTGGCTGTAATCTTTACAGAAGCAGATGACCAAGTCTTTCTCCCACAGAGCCTCCAGGTGGGTTCAAACCGTTAACCTTTTGGTTGGCAGCCAAGCGCTTAACCGTTGTGCCACTGGGGCTATTTTCTGGCAAGGGTATATGTGGCACTGCTTGACAATGATCATCAAAGTGTTTTATTCTTAAAAAAAAAAAAAAAATCCTACCTACTGGTATGTCTCCAAGATTGGAATCCAGAAACAAGTTAGAGAATGAACAGAAGGGAATGAACAATCTTTCACCTATCTTTTGAAGAAAATACCATGTTTTCCATGTTTAAAAAATATTGTCCACTTCAAAGAGCAGAAATGCAATTTGCTTTTGTCCAAATGCATTTCCTGAATGTCTTCTGAATGTCACTGCATCAGATGCTGCGGAGACAATTAGTGCTCTGGCCTATCCTGCTGCTGAGAGCTAATAAGCTAGGGGAGAGGAGAAGGGGACCCATTAATAAGCAGAAAATGTTGACATACCATGGTCAGGGCATTGGTAGACAGAGCACAGGGAATTAGGATGGCTTCCTGACAGAGATCAACTTTCAACTGAGTATTGAGAAAAAGGAAAAGTGGAGGAGAAGGAAGAAAGAGGTGGGGGTTAAACGTACAGGATACATGATCGACTACGGCTGTTTTTGTTAGTCGCTGTCAAGTTGACTGAGACTCATGGCGACCCCATGTGTGCAGAGGAGAACTGCTCCAGAGGGTTCTTGGAAGCAGATCTCCAGACTTGTCTTCCAAGATGCCTCTAGGTGGGTTTGAACTGCCAACCTTTAGGCTAAGTGTCCTTTAAGAGTATTTGGAGTAGGCGACCCTTGCCTTCCCCATACCACCTGACTTCTTTAAAAAGCTGAAATTCCATGTGCATTTAAAGTTTCATTTCTTTGGTTTGCTGCATTGCTAAAATGTCATCTCTCCCTTAGTCTACACAAGCTTACCTGATTTCTTCCTGAAAACAGGTTTGGTTTGGAGGTATGAATGGAAAGAAGAATCACAGAAAAGGAACCCAGAGACACATTCTCCCTTTCTTTACAGTTTGCATCAAGGCTGGCCCTGAACAGCCTGGCCAAAGAGGAGACAGTATTTTCAGATATACAGAGTCCTGGACAACATGCCAACAAGCTCTCTGGGCTTGGACTGGCAGCCATGGGGGCAAACAGGAAGAAAAGGCACAAAACAGCGAAAAGAGTATTCTGTAGACACTCTCCTTCTCTTTGTTACAGCAACAATAGTAACTGTGTATAATTTTAAAAAAAAAGTAATCACTCTAAAATTGTAACAATTGCTTTAAATTTAATAAGTCAAACTAATTAACATCCTTTGTTATTTATAAAGTAAATAATAAGAGATTAGCAATCCTTTCGTAAATTACAGAAAAGGAGGACTGTTGAAGTATACTTGCAAGTTCCCTCTTTATAGTACAAACAGAAGTGATGGTCTGAAAGGCAGAGAGATCTCCAAGGAGTGAGCAGGTGATAGAAGCAATTCAAACAGAGAGAGGAGATGGGCCTAGGGTTAGATCTTGGCAAAGATGCAAGAATCCTCCCAACCAGATTCCTCTGAGGTCCTGTGTTGTGGTGGTGGTGGCAGTGGTGATGGTGGTGGTGGTGATGGTGGTAGGGTGGTAGTGATGGTGGTGAGGGTGGTAGTGATGGTGGTGAGGGTGGTGAGGGTGGTGGTGGTTAAAGATCTGCTGAGGAGCGAGAACCAGTCAACCGTGTATTTAGCAAAACCTTAAATCCTGAAGAACATTACCAAGTCCCCCATTTACATTACTGGACTCTTCTTTTTGAGTAAATTAATGGTAGTTCCCTTGCTTGTTCACTCTGTTTTTCTCCAACATCATAATGCCCCTGGAGCACCATCATCTTTGTAACTGTGATCCTCATTGACTATCTCTACCATGAATAACTTGATAAAGTCTGCACAACCTTTTACCTGTTTGTCTCTCACCAAGAAGTTTATCTCAATCTTAATTCAATCTTGAAACATATCTCCTGAGAGAATTTACAGATCGTTGCCTTAGGTTTTCTGCCCTGTTCGACCAGAATGAGTATAGGATTGTGGGCGGTTTGTGCCATAATCATAACTTCTCCTGCTCCATAACTTTCAGCAAACTAGGGCATTGAAGGGAGTAGCAAAGAAACAAACACTCATAGACAAATTAGCCCAAATAATATTCCAAAGGAAAAGAGCCTTTTTGGATGACCTATGCCATCTTCCAAGACCCATCTGGCCCATGTTAAATTTTGCTAATAACAACAACTGTTGTTTATTACCAAATGCTGGCCACTGTACCGGACACTTTACATGCATTATTTTACTTACTAGTCATAAAAACCCCAAAAGATATCATCTCCACGTTACCAGTGAAGAAATGGAGGCTCTGAGGCTAACTAACATGTCTGAGTCACAGAACTA